GGTAAGTAATTATATGATAGTTTGAAGAAAAGAAGGAAATCTGAAGAAAAAAATGACAAAATATGATCCTATTAGGCAAAAAACAAAACAGAAAAATCCCATCCAAAACTAAACAAAATGAATAAGTATTCTAAAGTGCCACGTGTGACAGACCTATCGTAATAAGAACTTTTGTCAGCTACAGATCATTTTGGAAGTGCAAAAAATGCTAATTTCATGCATCCAGATAAATCCATGTGCAAATACACCCACAGAAACAAAGGAATTGTAATCCAACGGTACTAACGCTTCATGCCTCAATCTGATAAGGCACAACAAATTCCAGTAAAAGCTTATGTCACAATAAATGTGATCCTTTAAAGATAAATAAAAATGTTATAACATTTTGAGGTAAAAGAGTAACAAGGATATCCATCTCCCAATTTACACCATAGCATTAGCTACCTATAATTATTTAAAACTATTTAAACAGATTAAGTTTTGAAGCCAATGATGCTCTTGGAGGCCTCTGATGAGGAAGCTGGGTTTTTTCCATGTTTACATACCAAAAAGCTAGCACAGAGCAAGTTAAAACCAGCAGGTGAGATAATAGTAAACCTGAGGAGAGTCACTGTTCTTGTAAAGGCCTGATTGCCACACCCATGACTAAGGCTGATTTGAGAGCCTACACTTCATAATTGCTTCAACTCTTTAGCAGCCTCCAGATACAAATTCTATTACTAATTGTTCATATAAACCTTTCTGCTCCCCAATAAAAAATAATAAAGGGAAAAGTCAGTAGAATACAACAGAATTCAAATTCCTTTCCTGGCAAAACAGAGTAGGTCAAAAGGGTGCAACAGAAGAGTCACTTGATACACCAGTGAAACATGGATAAATGGAGGTTCTCTAATGTGCAGAAGCATTATGCCAACCTTATGTTTCGGCTGAGGTAAGGAATTGTTTTTTGAACTGCCTCAGGATCTACACCTCGCAGAACTCAACTTTACTCTACCACCACCAGGCTTCTCACGCATATCAGCAATGTGGGCTCCTGAAATTCATCAAGATGGGATAATGGCAGCTGGCTCAGACTGCTTTAAGGGGTCATACATACAACTGATTGTAAATTTTCTCAATAGCTATTACCCAGCATGCTTCCATGATCAGAGGGAATATGCTTCCCAGAAATGTATTTACTTTGTATAATCGTTCTATTTCAAGGGCCCCAGCAGTGAAATAATCAATGTATAAAAATATGCATCACTTTCCCCACCTGGTGCTCTTCAAATGTGCTGGGTCTGCAACTCCAAGAATATTCCAGCTAGCGTGCTCTTCAGGGGCTGCAGAACTCTGGAAATTGCAGACCCTGTAGGCCTGATGCACCCTGTAGAGCCCTGTTTCTCGAGGTTGGCAACTTTAAGCTGTGTGGACTTTAATCCCCAGAATTACCCAGCCAGCATTAAGTCCACACAGCTTAAAGTTGCCAAGCTTGAGAGACACTCCTCTAGAGAACACTAAGAGAAGGACAGCTGAAACAGCATCTGTGGAATAGGAAAACTTACTGTTACCCCATCAGTTAAAAGCAGCACTCCAAGAACAAGCACAAAACTGAAGTATCTGGCTACTGTGAGAAACAGGACATTGAGCTAGATAGCCTTCAGTCTGCTTCAGCTGAACTACTGTTATTCATTAAACTATTTCATTTATACACCATTGTTCCTCCAAGGAGCACAACGCTGCATAAGTGGTCCCCACTTCCAGATTTCTATAATCAAAACAACCCCATGAGAGAATTAGTTGGGGAATTCTGATAAGAACATTCCATGATGCCTCACTGATGACACTACCTATGATCTGCCATTGGACATTTTTGGTGCTATAGGCATGCCCCTCTACCACAGTGGCTGGGCACCACCTTCCATGGCCTATTTATTTATCAATTTTACATACTGCTTAAACATGACAGACAAGTGTTGATTTTGGCTTGGCCCGTTCAAGTTCAGGTACAAACTTGGATTATCTCGATGAATAAATAGGTACACTTGCTTTATTGGTTTCCTGGCTTATATTTGGTTTGTTCTCATATATTGCTCAAATTTCTACCAACCCATAAACCTGCAAAACAAAAGCAGCTAGAAAAGAGGAAAACACTCCAGAAATTTGCCAAAGACAGATTCCAGGTTGTTCAACAAAACACTGATGGTTGCATATACTAGCACTGCTTCAAGTTTTCCAGCTGCTAGACAGCAGTTAACCACATACAGCAGTGCCTACCTAGAATACCAAAATCCATCACAGTACAGTATTCCTTGTTTTCTTTCCCCACCTACCCCTCTCTCTCAGGATAATATGAAGTGGCATAGAAGGGTGGTTAATTGGAATGTCCTTCCAAAAGCAATACAGGATCATTTTCACCATAAAAATCTCTCAGTTCTGGTATTATTTGGCACTGCTTGACAAATTAATGTAGGTTTTATTTAATGGGACAAGAGGGAGCAGAGTTTGGGAAGTCAAATAAGTTCGGTTATGCAGAGGTGGCTAAGGGAAGGTGAGTTTGGCTGCTTTTTAAAAAATTTACTTTATCACCAATTTTGCATGCCCTTCTTGCTTCAAGGAGCAAAAACTCCACTACAGGCAGAAATGCAAGAACTAAGTCTGTTCTCAAGCAAGACGGATCAAGGGGAATTGATGCATCAAACTAAGCCATCACGGGGATTGTTTTTATTTTTTCAAATGTATATGCCATGTTCTGACTTAGCGTAGTGTGCGGACCTAGCCTCTCTGCTTTGTAAACTATGGTTTATGGCTCATTTTGTACAAACCCAATTAATCGTGATTCACTGAACTAATCAGAATTAAGCAATGACTCTGTGAGCTGAGTCAATCTTTAAGTCTAGAATTTGGATTTAAAACATTCCTTTTTAGTGAGAAGAGCTCCCAGACCAGCCTATAATTAAAAAAAAATATACAATCTGTCTTCAAGTTTATAGTTAAAAAGAATTTTAAATCCTACGTCAGTCCAGTCACTCTTTGCATCTGATGAACCGAGCTGCAGCTCATGAAAGCTTATGCCTTTTGCTACCACAGACTAGCACAGCTTTCCTTCCGCAAAGTTAAAAAGTAAACTCTCCTTCAGATTACATTTAATTCCTGATGTCTTCACAAATACATTCATGTAAGTCACAGTAAATAAGTATTTTGCTCTACCTTCTGGGATTTTTTGTTTTTATTTCCTAGTTTAGCCTATAGCACTGGCATCCAAGGATTAACCAAGTCTGACGCTGACTGGGTTTTAAAGGTCAGCCAAGGTGCTGCTAGCAGTATTTACAGTGGGAAGGGAAGGGAAGGGAAGGAAGAGAGGGAGGGAAAAAGCAACACAAGTATAAGCTGTTCTCTCTATGATGTGGCTGCTGTTAGAGTGATCAAATGAGGAACAAATGATCCATCCCTACCCCTGAATGCTCTCACACTGTCTCATAGGGTACAGGTAGTCCCCATTTAGTGTCTGCCTCATTTAGTGACCATTTACAGTTACAACAGTGATGAAAAAGTAACTTTAGAACCAGTCCTCGCATTTACGACCTTCGCCAGTCTGTAAAGCAAAGGAAAGCTGAAGTATGATCATAAGCACCGTCATGGTTTCACTTAGTGACCACTTTGCTTAATGACCAAGTTCCAATCCCAGTTGTGGCTGCTAAACAAGGACTACCTGTACAAGTTCTGGAGCCCTCATATAGAGCCTCCACAGCCAATAATAGAAACAGCCAGGAGAAAGACCTACTCACTGTCTCCTGCTTTAGGAATAAGTAAAGGTAAGGCTGTCTTCCTTACTGCAAGCTTCATTTATTATTTATTCCAGAGAAAGAGACTTGTAGGATTTTCTGCCCTCAATGCCAAAATAATCTGGCCAGTTCTGGTACTACAGTCCTCAATTTTAATTTTTTAAGGGGTAGTTCTACTGCAGGCAGCATATCATTTTGGACTGGCCTGGTTTGTAGCCTAACCAAAGCAAATGCAGAAGTTATTTAAGGATTTATACCCCATTCCTGTAGGCACACACTATTGAGGGTAGCTTTAAATAATTAAAACCAATTAGAAAATACAGTAACATTCTGTTAAAGTAACAATACATTGAACAGGAAGACATTTAGCAGGCAAGTAAAGGTATCAGATATGATTTTTTTTAACTGATTCAGTAGTTTCCTGTTGGAATAACAGTTTTATAATATTGTAGAATAGAGAAAAAATGGGGGGGGGGCCAGCAACTGAATCACAGAGAAGAAAATGATGAAGCGAATGCCAATATGACTTTTTCCCCATCCTCAAAACATTACAAGCTGAACAAAATATTCTCACATTTCATCTTCTTAAAGTTTCTGATATTCTGAAAATATCTGGGATTAACCTTCTCTCAGCCTTCATACTAATCTGTAATTAAATTTTTAATAGAGAAATTCAAAGCTAAAAAGCTTACAGGCAAAAGTGGCTTATTACACTAGTATTCTGGGTTTGTTGTTGCATTCTGGGTTTGTCATTAATACCAACACAACCCAAGTTATACATTTCTGACAATTCAGAATTGGGATTCCACTGTATGGCCTAAAAGGAGGCAAATTTAATACTAATCAGAAGTATTGCATATCGTTAACAAAGATCAGCATATGAAATTGAAAAATACAAGTGTGCTTAACTACAATGGGGAACAGCCTGTTGAGTCTACTTAGAATTTTAAGAATGGTTGCGGGTGCCCTTGCGAAACAGCCTCTGCCAAACCACACACATCACGAAGCATCTGAATCTAGCCCCCCTCCTGTGCTTAGATGCTTCTTACCATCCCTCCACATTACTTCTAAACAAGGCACTCTCTTGCAGCTATCCATCAAGCTGATGGGGCCTGGAAGTATCCTGGGAAATAAAAGTGATGCTGGAAGCTGTCAGCTGACTTTGCAGCATGCCAATTTCATTTTTTTAAAAATTAAAATAAATTCATTTTAAAAATCTTTTGGGACAGGAAGCCTAGGAGGCACTACCTAAAGAAGTATCTGGACGCACACTGGCTCCCCTGATGCTGTCCTGGGAGGATCCTTTTGTCAAGGGCTAAGAAATCATTCAAACAGTTACAGCAGCACCTCCACATGAATGGGCCTCCCTGCTGAAGCTGTTGGGTGTTTGCAATATCCAAAGAAGTGAGCCTCCGCTGGTCCATCCTGAACAGCTCCATGGATAGTTAGTTCTAATTACAGCCAGTGGAAAAGGTGCTGCCATGCTAGCGGCAGGTAAGATTGCTGAAAGATTGGATTACAACAACCAAGGCCTTTTCAATTCTGTCTTTCTCCTTTGGACATTTCAAACTGCACTGCACTCACTTGTGCTCTCTTTCTCTCTCTCAGGAATTCAGGGAAGCATTTCCTGAAAACACTTAAGGCAGAATACGCTGCCAGCTCTGGCTCCTTCTTTCCTTGGTTACCCTGAAGTTTATTTTCCTAGGAACAAAAATACGGTTTCTCAGTTCTCTGCCTTTTCCTCTCTGCAAAGAAATATAATTCTCCAATACACAGAAACATGGTTCAAAAATCTCACATAACTCAAGTTTAGCGTCATGTGTAAACCAACAATCCATAATTACAGATGTTGTGCCACCTGCGGAGAACAACGCACCATAGAAATTGGAGCACAGATCAGCCAGAAAGCAACAAAATAACTCTGGCTAAACTATAGTTATATACTTTGATAGTTAAAATATACGTAAAGTGCGGCAAACTATGGTTTGATGGGGCATCTGAACTGAGCAGCAAAAATCTCCAAATTGCCACCACCATATTCGACACCCCAGGCTCTCAAAGACTGAGGCAAGCAGCTCAGAGACTGCATAATTCCAAAAAAAGATCCTTCAATCAACGCCCATCATTCCCATTTGCTCCTTGCCAGCTCAAGAGTTAGAAACTTTGCTCTGTTTTCTTGAATCCCAGCATCTGCTCATCTCCTCCTTACCACGTACCTAATAACAACATTTTTTAAAGGAAGGAAGCAAATCCCTGAAAAGCATATAGCAAAATACTCCCCATTTTAAATGTTCATCCCTGTCCCAGGCTAAAGATGATTCCATCAGCTAAGCCAGGGAGTATGCAATGCAGTGCCAACAGACCCCAACATGTCAGACATTTCCCTTGCTGGTTGCTGGCTACCAGACATTAATGGAATCTAAACAAACAATTAATAACAAAAACTATAAATGCTACAAAGTAAAGTGCCAGATTATAGCATCCTTATAGAAAAAGTCTTTTAGGGTCCTTGTTTGCTTTTTAAGCAATCTTAGGAAATAAAAAGTGTGAGTAGCTTCAGTTTAATATTTTGTTTAAAAATGTGCCACTTGGCCAGAAAAAAGAAAAGAAAAAAATAGTGTTGGTTAAGGAGCATTCAGGATAGGAGGGAGCACTTGCTTGCTCTGAGCTGAGGTAGGAAAGGATTCAATTCTTCCCCTCACACATAGGACAGACACACTTTACTCTCTCAATCCCCTTTCCTCCCAAAAAGGTTGAAAATTCCCATTAAGAAGCTCTGATATTTACCTGGTTGCATCTAACATGGACATGCCTAGCTATAGCACAGTTTTGGAGTATTATGTATAAAGAAATTACCAAAATTCTGTGTGTGAAAGTACCACCTAGGCCTCCTCTATGTTTACTGAATATCTTTAGAGAAACTGATATTGGGCACATAGTTTTACTGCAGCTCAGCTCACTACTGCTGCCAGCTGAAAAAAACTTGATCCATTGTCCTAAAACATGGTATTCTAAATTATGGGACATAGAAATATCTGAAAAATATAACTTTTTATTCTATAAATAAAATCCCAACCTGAAAATCCCAACAGAACTTACTTGGAGAACCTCTGTAGGAGAGCTGATGATGTGTTCACATTGAGAGACAATTCTTTAGCAGTTACCCTCAGTGAATGGGAAGCCCAATGCCTTCTGTTAAATGGAGATGGTTCCATTCTGAAATGCAGTAATACCTAACAGAGAATGAAAAAGAAAGACTAATTTTTACATAGAAATGCTCTCCATCCCATTGTCTTCGAGTGACAGTAACTCCTCACTCCCATGGACTGACTAAAAAAAAAAAAAAAAACTAAACTGTTTCATGCTAGACCCCAAGCAGATTAGAATATTTAACTTTCAGTTTAAATTTAAAGGAATCATTCTCTCAGAAATATTTGTTTCAGGTCCTCTAGATATGATAGATTGGAATACCCATAATTTCCAGACAGTATTGCCCTGAAAGTTATCAAATTGAGAAAAATTAATCTAGATCAGTCAAGCTCTTCCATGCATCTGATGAAGTAAGCTGCAGTTTGTGAAAGCTTCTGCCTTAAATAAAATTATTAGTCTCAAAAGATACTACCAGACTCTTTCTGAATCCTAGATCAGTTTGTAAAACAATACTTTTTACAATAAAATGTTAATACAGTAGGTATAAATACTTTAATGACCCACACATCACTACATGAATGTGACTATACTATCACTAATATACCAATAAGTATATTACCAATAATATGTCATTAAGATTACAATGCCATGGTACAGTGATCATGTGTGGCTTTATGCTATGCATTTGGATGACTGGAGTATGTGGCACCAACTCAAAGCTAGCAATAGAAGCAGAAAAGATTTGTTCAGGAAATTGTCAGCTTGCACATCATGTGGACAATGGCAACTCTAACACAAAAAGATACAGAATATACCATTCTCAGAACAAAAGATGGTCTTCAGAACAACACTTTCCATATTAAGGCAATGGCACTCCACTGGAAAGTACCAGGAAGTGTGAGAAGGCGGCTAAGATGGGGCTTGTCAAACTTTAGAAGGCTTTAAAATGTATGTGTACTTTGGAGCCATCTCAAACTACCATACGCTGTTGGCATCCTGCCTTGATTCTTCTGGAACATGAACGTAGCCTATCCAGACAGACTTTGAGCTGGGTAGGTATGCATGAATGAGAGAATTCATGTGAAGAACCTGTACAGCAGATCTGTATTTGTGTCAGTCCCTCTGGATTTTTTTTAAGAAGGAACAAATAGCACTGACGGTGCTTCCCATCTTCGAAAGGTCTCAACAAACACAATGGGTTTTTAACACACATTGTGTTAAGATACTTGTGATCTGTGTCACATGTAATCTGCGTAACCTGTCTTTTGCCCTCTTCCCCTCCCCCTAATTTAAATCCTACATCAGTCTAGCCACTCTATGATAGGGTGAACTGCAGCTCACAAAAGCTTTTTAATAACATTTGTTAGTTGGAAAAAGTGCTACCAGAGTCCTGATTCTTTTCCAGCCTCAGTATAACATTCTTGGGTATAATTTTTGGAATAAAACCTCTTCTCTGGTATCACACTGTCATCCATAGAAGTGAGCGAACACATTAAAATACACTTTTCTGCACACCTTTAAAAACCAGTCAAGATACATGAAAAAGACTACAGTTAAGAAACTTAGGAAAACCCATTCCCAAATCTGTATAAAATCTACACAGAAGATCTGTTATAGCTAACATTTTAGTTTGCAAAAGAAAAAAAGTTCAGGGCAAAAAGTATACAGTAATGCAACACTTAAAAGTAGAACAACAGTGTATTCAGTTCAACCATTCTGCACCACTCTTCTGGAGCAATCTGTTAGTGTCATGCCCTCATTCTTTGTTTTGTCTTTCTTTCTACAACTCTCACCTTTTCAGGCTGACATATAGGATATGCTAGCTTCACAACAACCTTGCAAGGTAGTGGCAATGCCAAAAACAGCAACTTATACACTCCCCCAAGTCCATGTCATTATTAAGCAGATATTTGAATAGTAGTCATTCCATGACCAAAGCATGCATTGCACCATATTGGCTAAATGTTATGTGATGACACTCCTGGAAGCAAGAATTTAGGTAACAGATGAAACAAAAACATCCTTGTCCAAGCAGGCGGTGAGCAGTTTCACCCATGTACAATTATTACATTGTCACGTAGCATTACCACTTTAGCAAGCTAGAAGCCATGACACATACTGCATGAAGTAATACTGTACTTTACCTTTCAGAGAATCTTGTTTCCCCTTAATAATAACTTATCATTTTATCAACATGTGGAAAAAACAAGTAGGGCTTAACTTCCAAGTGATGCTAAAGTACCAAAACTACCACAACCTATATTAGATGTCTACTGAGTTACAGATTTTTTTTTTTTTACAAAAGCCCTTAAAGCCACCAAGAACAATACTATTATTCGATATGATCAAAGGGCACTTTATGAAACAAGGCAACCACTGGAGTGCCCTGTTTACAGGTGGGTTCAGAGCTCCAGATTCAGATCCTTTCTTCATTGGGAAGCTCACTGAGAACTCTGAGCTATCCACCAAACAAACTTATAGAAATACCTGTTCAATGCTCTACTAAACTGTAAAATATGTACAGGTTTACTATGCTGTTTCAACCAAGCTAAGCACATTTATTTATTTATTTAGTGTATGGCATCTCATACATGGACTTACATTAAATACTAACATTTAGCCTAAGTTAAAAGCACTTT